CAAATTTTATTTTGCAGTCAAATATTTACAGACAAATTATTAATATAAGTTTGTTGCACTTTGTATTAACGTGTCAAGTATTTGTTCACATAATTTATAAGGAAAAAGTGAAACATATTCAAAGAAATTGTTTATATAAATTCTGTTGTGTAAGCACGTACAATTTTATATTGATGTAGGCCTGCATGATGTAAAAATTCAAAATTATAGAATCACAAACATAATTTATTCAACGAATTATATTTAAAAAATTATTTAATCAAATTTATCATAAAATAAACATTTGAATCTTTATTTAATGTACAGTACATTTTACTTATTTAGAACAGCGAAGAAGTCAGAAAAACTTGAATCATTAGAAAAATAACATAATTTAATCTCAATTTACTGCAAATTTCTAAACAATTGTAAGCAAAATTATTAAACATTAACCATTTACTTAAATAAAAAAATAAATAAATAAATGTAATTTTTAAAATTTAATTCCTACTTATCCTGCCATCTGTCGAATAATTTTAAAATTATCCGAATAAAACTACTATTTTTTTTTATTTGATCCTTTCTCCTCTCAGCATCTTCCTCATCCTAGGAAGCTTCCATTACAGATTCAATTATCAACATAATTAACATAAAAATATGCAATTTTAAAGTAGTTTAAGGTGTAATATTGGGAATGGAAATGATAAGACTCAGTGTAGAATATGTTATATTATAGAAAAGACGAGAATCTATTTTATTTTAAAGGTTCTATACAACTCTTAGAGAGTTATTCAAGTAAGGGATGTTGACCTCTGAAATGGGACTACATTCGTGGAATTGGATATTTCAGTAAATAGAAAAGAAATATATTATACGAATATTTTATATATTTTTTAATATAATTGTAGATTCATAAAAATAGAATATTTTAACAATTTTCCTCTCTCTTTCTTTCCTGCTACATTCCAACTGTGTGTGATGCAGCGTGTTCTTAACCTTAAACGATTAATTTTCTGATAACCGATATCAATAATTTCATAAGGTTATTACCATTACAGACGTTTAATATTTAGCAGATTAATTATAATATAAATTAGCGGGAACATTGCTGTTTTATTATGAATCAATAAAGGAACCAAAATTCCTGGATTTATGTTGGATGTGCGGTCTGAATGCAATATGTAACTCTGATGTTTTTATTGCTTAGTTTAATACTGTATAACTGAATAATTTATATTAATTTAGTTATAAAATAAAACTAGAATTTTTCTAGATAAAAAGACTGTACGAAATACATAAAATAATTACAAAGTTTTTAAGGGATTTTTGAACATAATTTAACGTTTTATAATTTAAATAAAAATAACATTTTTTATTTAAATATGTTAAATTAATTTATAAACTTTTTAATATATTATAGGATGTGAGAAGCANAAGAATTTTAACTTTTATGTTAATCCTTATAAATTATCTTATTTTCTACAAAATTACAATTTATTATCTTGTTTAACATGATTTAATTATCGATTCATATGCAGAAAAATTAATATCATCATTTAAACAATATAAAATACACTTAAATAAACTTTTTAATATAATTTTTGAGGATTTTATTTTAATTATTACTTCAAAAACTTCATATTTATTTTTAAATTAAATGCTAATTAAGAAAACGAGAAAAATACTTTGAAATATTCAATTTCTATACGAAATTCCATTTATAGAAAACATTTAAAAGCAAATAAGTTTATAATATATTTTAAAATAGAATCGACTTATCTAGGGAAAAATAATTTAAACTAAAATAAATATTTTTATAAATTTAAAATAAGCTAAAAATTCTCTTTAAATAAATAAAATTTTAAGTAAAAGTTTTCATTTAAATACATTAAATTTTATTATTATTGTTATTATTATTTTACATTTCTAAAATTTAGAAAATCAAGAAGATGCCATTAATATATATATATTAATATAAAATCCACCATACTTAAGTTTATGAACAAATCAAAAACATTATTTAAATAAATAATTCTATCTAAGAGTGCTATTTTTATCCAAAAAAATAAGAATTCCTTTCATATCTCCATATAAAGTAATAAAAGTTATCATCATTTGCAGCAGTTTGCACTAATCTAAAAAAGAATCACGTAACTCAATTCAAAAATATTTTTGCAATAACTTTACTTCAAAAAAACACATAACTATCAAAAATAATATCTGTAAAACGTTATCATCATTATTATATTATTTACCAAAGGTTACTTAATCATTTAAAAAAATACTTCCTTTTCTTTAAATAATAATAATTTTATATTTAATGTTCTCAATTTTTAGATATAAAAATATTAAAAAAATAACATTAAATTTCTTTTATTATTATTGATAAATTTGTATATTTAATTTATACTTTGAGGAAGCGAAATAACGATATTATGTATCGAGAAATATCTTTATTTCTAGGTAAAGAATAAAGGAAAGTAAATAATAAAAAAGAATTTTTAACTGTTTATTTCAATTTGAAACCATTGTAACTTGATATATTCCCATCATCAATAAATTGTAATTCTTCTAAAATTCTTTCAGAAACCACAACAAATCGTCGCCTCGGGAGCTGTGAAAATTCTTTATTGCCAAGCAAAGGATAAAACTAACAAACAGTAAACTGATTCTTTGCTCCAACATGAGATCAGTGTGCGCATGATCAGATTATGATCATGATCGACGTGCGAAGAAAGCGTATCAGTTACTATGTTGCTAAATGCTAACGTTGTCACTCATTGCAACACTCTCTCCTTTTGTCACGATCCTTAAAACGATAATTACACTTCGTGTCCTGAAATAGCAAAGTTTTTCTCTCTACAAATTGGACCTGCCCAAAAAAACTTTTTAACTTTCCTATTTTAACATCCTTTGTCAACATCTTGTATTTTTTTTTTCATTACTTTTTCAATATTACAAGTTTTCTATATGTATATCTATAGAAGCTTTTCTATAAAGGATGTTTTCGTAAATTTCAATTTTGTATTTCTATTTTTCTCGCTTTTAACTTATTTTTTTATCTTTTTTGAATTATTATATTTCAATTTTTTCCTCAAATTTATACTCTTTTGATACATCTCAAGTTTCCTTATCTATCCTTTCCTATAGCTTAATTATATTTCAAGTTCGCTATTCCGAATTTTCTCTTCCTCCTCTCGTTTTACACATGCTCTTATTTGATTCGTTTCAAGTTTTCATTTTCGTCTATCTTGATATTTTTTACAGTCGACTCTACAAGCATTTTTACTGTTCAAATTTGATTTATTAAAGTAATTTTCTTCACTTTTCCTCCTTCCTCTCGCTCTCACTCTTTCACTTTCTACTCTTGTCTGAAATTTATATTTTAATTTATTTTTAAGCCAGAATAATTTATAAAAGAGTTAAATAATACTTTAATGCTTTAATTTTATATATATATATATAATGTACATATAATGTATAATTTATTTATTTCTAAGAGGATATTTTTCATTTGAGTGTACCATAAATTATTGTTTCGTATGGAAGATTAAGCTGAAGTAATTAAATTCTTTATAGCAATATATTACATATACAGGCATCAGAAAAAATTAAGTGTTATGTTATAGAATTATACCTCATAATATACGGAGGTGTGAATAAATTATAGTTATGAGGTATTATTGTTATATATTGAATGCATTAATATGTACATTATCATAATTAGATTCGGGGATAAGTAGTAAACAAATGCATAAATTATGTAAAGAATCGCATCAATTTAACTTAAATGTACATTATAAATTATTATTAAGTATTTTTCTATAAATATGTATATTATATACATTAACATATTGCCCTCTTTCATGGAAAAAAAGGGATTGAAGATTGTCATTCATCTTCAAATTTTCATATTTTTCTTGTTTAATAGAAAAATTATCATATTCATTTTTTCAAGCCTCTTCTGCCTAGATATATATTAATTAATTATGCATTCACTTATTAATTATGCATGCATTTTTCTACTAAAGCAGCATAACTCCTAAAAAAACTTTACTTCCTTTCTCTTACTTTTGTTTTCTTATTTATTACGCATAATTCATTACTTATTATAAATAAGTAAACAAAGAAAAAATATATATATAATAAACATGGGAATTTTTAAATATTAAATTTAATAATTATTAGAAAATTACTAGTTTGGTCCTCTATGGAGTCTATGCGATAAGAGAATGATAAAGTAGAATAAGAGGGGAAGAAATATCATTTTTATCAACGGCAGCAATTCTTGTGGTCGTTATTAGCCTCGAGTCATTTAAAGATATTTGTAACTTTTCCCTTTATTTAAAGCTATTTTAACATGAAATTTCGAGCTTTAAAATGTTAAATTTTATAATAAAAACAAAACAAAAAAAAAATATGCTAGTGAAAAGCTATTCCAAATTTCCACAGAATTATATTATAAAAGTTAGCATTTATCTAATTAAATATTATACAATTTCCTCTTCGTTTATATAAAAAAAAACTTAAACTTCAATTAATAAATGAAGAATGTTTCCAGTTTAATCTCCATACCATCACGTAATATAAACGATATAATTACAATTTTCTCACTAGAACCTTAGTAAAATAAACACTTATAAATTATTAACAAGCATCAATAATTAAAGAATATCATTACCTTAATTGCAAGTTTTATCTATAAACATTAATATATTAATTAATATAATTTAAATGTACTTAAATCTATTATTGAGATTAATATATTAAGCATTTAATTTAACGAAAATAAATATTTTATTATTTTAAAAAAACAAATAAATTCTAGCAATATTAAAAATAAAATAAACTTTCTGTTTTTAAATAAATAGAAGAGATTAGACTTAACTTTAATTAAATTTACATTACGTGACGCTCTATTTAATTACGTAAAATCGCTTCTTAATTGAACAACCTGTTTGAGATGCTTAAGGAAAAAAGAAGAGATAACTTTTAAAAAAATTTTTAAATAAAATTCTTACCTAAAAGAGGAAGCAATAGATGTTGAAGCTGACTTGTTCGAACACACCAAGCTCTATGAAGTTGGACGATTCAAATTATCCGTGTGCGTTCTATCGAGCCACAGATAGGGATGTAGGAGGCAACACACTTCTACTCTTGTCGATTGCAACGCCGCTCTAGTGACGAAATTCGTTTTAGAGGGTATAGTAGTACTTTAAGGCGTGCTACAATAGTGATTATTACAGTTGGCGAAGTCAATAGAATAACTACTATTCATAGCAGTTTCTTTCTTCCATACAAATCAATATCCAATTAGAGCAGCATCTGTTATTTCCCAACTTTGTGTTCGAACTTCTCTCCTGATTGCGACAAAATGACTCAATTAGCAAACTAGAAAATTCCTTTTTTTTCTCTCTCTCTGTTTCGAGTGGTGTCGAAATCTGCGTTTAAATCAGAATTTTGTTTGTTTCCTCTCGAGTCCATACGCAGTTTGTTTTTCTGCACGAGTTCGTAAGAGAATAAAAATTTTAATTATAATTAGAATGATAAATTTTTATTAATTAAAGCTTCAATAACAAACAATACATTAGCAAATATCGTTGAATAAATTCTCTTTTTAAAAATAACATAAGGAATTAAAAAATTGAGGGTTTATTAGGTAATTTTTAAGTGGAAAAGGATGAAAATATGTAATAATTTTTATTAGAATATAAGAAAAAGAAAGAAACTACAAACTAAATAGCTTTTTATATAAAAAGGAAATAAATGTTGTTAACGTTAATATAAATTTTAGTAGCTAAGAAGATAGCCAAAAAGAAATTATTCTCCCAACTAAACTAACAAGAAAGTCAAACATACGGACAGAAAAATAGATTGTTCACTTGAATGAAAGACGGAGAATAAAGAATAAGGTGTTTCATCTTTCGCTTTACTAAATGGTATTCTAGATTGAAACAAAAGATTATTTATACTAGAGAAATGAATGAATGTCAATACGCCCGACCGTCATCATGTGTTATAACTAGACAGTTCTTTTCTCTAAATGGAAATATGTTTATTTTTCAAAAAGTAATTTTTAATATTTTGACAATATTCATCATTTTTACTTTTTTTTCCTGTTTTGTATAATGTAAAAATACATAATTTCGATTTTTATTATTGTATTTTTTTACTTTTTATTTAAAATTAACATAAATATTTTAAAATAAATACCATTTCGAATTAAATTATATTTTAGTAATAATAATATCACTCTTAAGTAACACAATATTTAAGTTTTAAATAGAAAATATCGATATGCTTCACTGCATAGCAATTATTTATGCGGTGAAGTATCATTTACAGGAGTAATTGAAACTCTACGTTTTACTTTAAGATTTCGAGTTAAATTTTTAATTTTTTTTTTCTTTTTTAAAGAAATGCAACTCGGGCAAGTTGTCAACACAGAAGTAACACCACATCAATAAATTTTTAAGTAAAAGTAAACCATATATTTATATTTGAAAATAATATATGAGAAATTTATTGAAAAATCAACTCATCAAAAATTTTCTGACATTTCCATTATACCATCTTTTGTTGAATACACTCTAATGTACTTCTAACCTATCATCAACTGAAGATAAAAATCATCGGTTGTCGTGGAAACGAAGATTTTTTTCTAACTTTTCAAGTAACTGAAGCATTTTTTTTTCCTTCTAACAGGTGATAAATTAATGAAGATGAAACGATATCATGCTTCTAAGAATTGACAATGTAACACTATCTTAACAAAGTTTTTTATCTTTATTAATTCATTTGATATTTCTTTTAAGAGAATTTGATACTTTTATAATAATATAAAATCTTCATTTACATTATTTTTTTTATTGTCTAACTGAGAAATTTATATTTATTAATTAAAAGTTTTATATATTTTTCACTTTAACCTTTTAACTTTTTTTATATTATTAAATCGGACATTTTTGTATCTAAAAATATGTTAAGAAATTAATTTTAAGTGTTAGTGTAAAAAGTTTCTAATTAATTTAATCAGGCATGGATGACAGAATGATTGCAGCCTGCTGTTGATATGTTATTAAAAGAAAATAGAATACTGATAATATGTGTTATGGAACGTATGATGATAAATATCAAAACAAGGATGCACTTCAATCAATTTTAGAGTTAACTCTAACCAAAGCAACTTTCTGTATTTTCTGTAAAGAATTTTAAATAACAAAATACTTTAGTAGAAATATTAAGGAATGAAAATTGTAGCGAACTTTTGAATTTGTTTAAGAGAATAATGAATTAATCATGCACCAACTTAACATGAACTTTATAATAATTTTAAAACAACTAAATAATTAAAAATTTCTTCTAAATATTTAATATTTTACACAGTAAATTATTAAAAATTTTAATAAAGAAATGAGAATCTGTAAAACATCAGAATTATTTTTTTAGATAATATACAATGCCGTTGTTTTCTTCGAAATTAAAAAATTTCTAATTATAAAATGAATTTAATTAACTTTGACAGGTATAAAAAATCTTCTTAAAGATGAATCTATAATAATTTAATTAAAAATTTATATAATTTTTTAAAATAATATTTGTAAATTTTATCCAAATTATGATTGATAAAGAACATCTAATAAGATTAATAAAATTAATTTATTAAATTGTCTAATAATATTATATTCTGATGGAAATATTGTAAAGAAACGTCGAAATCATCTGTTAAATTTAATATCCATGTTTTTTTACTCAAAATTTTATTTAATTTCTCACTTAAAAACAAAACCATGCATCTTACAAGACTTTTAGAGAGAATATATATATAAAGTGTGGTGCAAGTTAATATTTATATAAAATTTTAACTATTGTTATAAATTTAATTGAAATAATATTATTCTGAAACGCATTATGGGGTAGTTAGTAGAGCAAGTGACCATTATCAGTTTATCAGCTGGAAGTGACAGTTCTGAGACAATTCACACTGAACTCCTTACAAGTGAATTGTGCAATCAATAAACCGATTGTTTGAGTGTGACATGTCTTCACCTAGCTAGTTTCTGTCGAACTTTTTTTATATAAATGTGAGTAGCGTGTCTACAAGTTACTGCACTATGAGGTATCAACAGTATTAAAAAGCCCAGCCCTGTAAATAGCACTTTACCTCAAAGAGAAAGTTTTACAAAACTATTTTAATATTACAATTTTATTTATTTTTCTGTATTGTTGCTGTAATATAATATATCTCTCATCATAAAGTAAATATTGGAACCATTGTTGAGTTATATAACAGATTTTAGTTGTTTATACAGTATTTTAAAAGTATCTGAAAGTTCTTAGGCTATGGCTGCGTGTATGGCTATGGAGAGAAATTATTTTATATCCCATTTTCATGAAAATTTTGTTAGATTTGTAATCGAAATATTTGTGATATTAACATAATCAAAGAACCATTGATTAATATTTATGAAGTAATATAAAATCTCCAAATACTAAAGTACGAATCACGCTAAAATCTGTGATATACGCTTGACAAAAGGAAAAAACTTTTGTTTATACAAGATAAACGAGTATGCATCTATGCCATCTAACAATAGTAATTTTGAATATATTACATCAAATTTTTGTAATTACAGTAAAACTTCGATTTAACGGACATTCCTCGCTTCAATTAATTCGTTAAATCGAGATTTTACTGTATTATTTAAACTTTTAATTAAGATATTTGTTTACGATTTATCTTATTTAAGAACGTTATAGTAATGTTAATGCTAATTAATGTTTTAGGCTGAATTTTTGGGTGCAATTTTCTAAATAATTTTAATAAAAATATTTATATCCTGCAGATTATTTACGGTTTTTTTGTAAGCATTTTAAAAAAAAATTAAANTCCTCTCGTTTTACACATGCTCTTATTTGATTCGTTTCAAGTTTTCATTTTCGTCTATCTTGATATTTTTTACAGTCGACTCTACAAGCATTTTTACTGTTCAAATTTGATTTATTAAAGTAATTTTCTTCACTTTTCCTCCTTCCTCTCGCTCTCACTCTTTCACTTTCTACTCTTGTCTGAAATTTATATTTTAATTTATTTTTAAGCCAGAATAATTTATAAAAGAGTTAAATAATACTTTAATGCTTTAATTTTATATATATATATATAATGTACATATAATGTATAATTTATTTATTTCTAAGAGGATATTTTTCATTTGAGTGTACCATAAATTATTGTTTCGTATGGAAGATTAAGCTGAAGTAATTAAATTCTTTATAGCAATATATTACATATACAGGCATCAGAAAAAATTAAGTGTTATGTTATAGAATTATACCTCATAATATACGGAGGTGTGAATAAATTATAGTTATGAGGTATTATTGTTATATATTGAATGCATTAATATGTACATTATCATAATTAGATTCGGGGATAAGTAGTAAACAAATGCATAAATTATGTAAAGAATCGCATCAATTTAACTTAAATGTACATTATAAATTATTATTAAGTATTTTTCTATAAATATGTATATTATATACATTAACATATTGCCCTCTTTCATGGAAAAAAAGGGATTGAAGATTGTCATTCATCTTCAAATTTTCATATTTTTCTTGTTTAATAGAAAAATTATCATATTCATTTTTTCAAGCCTCTTCTGCCTAGATATATATTAATTAATTATGCATTCACTTATTAATTATGCATGCATTTTTCTACTAAAGCAGCATAACTCCTAAAAAAACTTTACTTCCTTTCTCTTACTTTTGTTTTCTTATTTATTACGCATAATTCATTACTTATTATAAATAAGTAAACAAAGAAAAAAAATATATATAATAAACATGGGAATTTTTAAATATTAAATTTAATAATTATTAGAAAATTACTAGTTTGGTCCTCTATGGAGTCTATGCGATAAGAGAATGATAAAGTAGAATAAGAGGGGAAGAAATATCATTTTTATCAACGGCAGCAATTCTTGTGGTCGTTATTAGCCTCGAGTCATTTAAAGATATTTGTAACTTTTCCCTTTATTTAAAGCTATTTTAACATGAAATTTCGAGCTTTAAAATGTTAAATTTTATAATAAAAACAAAACAAAAAAAAATATGCTAGTGAAAAGCTATTCCAAATTTCCACAGAAT